TGTTCTGACTTCTTTAGCAGCTGACCTGTGGCTTTGAGCTGCTGGAGGGGCTCTATGATCTGTCTGGCCGGCCGGAAAGTAACTTCCCATCATAGCTGCTTTTTATCATGTCCTTGGACTTAGTCACCACACAAGGGAGCCAACCAGCCATGAGACATGCGAAATCGTGTCTGAGAATGATTTGTCATCTCTTCCTGCTCCATTTCTTTGCAGCTTTTTAGTTGACCTCACTATGGAAAGCTTGTCATGAGTGAAATGCTGTCCATTAAGGTTTACAACTGCAGCAAGGTTTTCAGTAACAGGTGGGTCCTTTGATTTTTGGGGTGACCAGTATAAGTAGGGGAGAAAACATGTTAATCTTTCCATTGTCTACTGGCAATAGAAAAGGTCTATTGAAAATTTGATGGAAGGAACATGAGCAGAATGCTACTTATAGAGGAAGGATAGAACTAGTTGTTCAGTTGTGGCAGCAATGCTGTATATATTAAGTTATATAAGGGGAATGATTTAGCTGTGCTAGCTGTAACAGGGACTATGGAAGCATCCAGATCAGACCCTCAGCTGGGACAAAGGTTAAACAAGGCCCTAAAAAACAGCTACAAAGGCAGGTCTTGCTCCAGACTGAGAACCTGCTGTCACCCTGAACATCCTTGTGGTGACCGTGACCACGTTGCGTCCAAATTCAACGTATCTCTTGGAGCAGAAAAGCCCTGAATGCATCATGTTATGGTTCAACCTTTAATAAGGGAGCAAATTCAATTTAAAAGGTCAGCCACTATTTAAAATGTTTCTAGGTGGCACAACCACAACACTGTGGACTCAGTGGCTATTCCAACAGTTACAAAACACTGCAGGGAAACCCTGGAATAGAGATGACAGATTGAGTAGTGGGGCAAGAAAGGCAGCTGAGGCATATCCTTCAGGATATGTGAAACATGAAGATGCAGGGAAAGGTGCCAGCTCTGATAAGCAATTTTTAAGAACTGAAGGAAAATGCACAAGCTAATAATGCAAACCTTTTCAAAGGTGCCAGAGAGAGCATGAGAGAACAGATGAGCACGACACATACAAGACACAGATGGACACAGTGCAGAAAGTGTGGCAGATTGTTGTGTCACTGTTTCCTGGATGATTTTCTTATGGGACCTGGATCAGAGGAATTGTGTCTGACTGAAATATCAATAGAAACTGATACAGGACAAAGAGATAACACAAATGGTAACAAAACAGTAGGACCTGACAGCCTGGAGGAAATGAGTCCAGTCAGAAATGAGCGGATTGACACTGTATCCACATATCTTCACTTCTGGGGAGCAGAATAATGGCAGGTGACAGAGAGTACAGTTCAAAAGCATATGGTCTGTACATTGGGATGATCAAAATTAAATAGAAAGGGAGTGTGAAAGGACAGAAGGGGAAAATTTGTACATTGCTCTATCTGTTTGTGGTCTCTGGACTTCTGTGTGTGCATCCTTTTTATAGCAGCAGCATCAAGCTGACAAAGCTGGAAAGGAGGAGGATGAGCAGAGAGGCTCTTTTCTTGGGGGTAGCAAGTTGGACAGGCACTGTATCTCAGAGAAAATGGAGGTGAGAAAGAGTAAAAGAGATCAACAGCTCACAGCTGAAATTGAGATGTATGGCGAGCAATTCTTGTCTGAGTCCTAGGTGGGCAGTGAACTCTTTCAGTAGCAGTTCCCAGCTGACACTGGGAAGTTCTGCTTCATGCAGGCCTTATCTTGGCTGCCAGCAGAGATGCTACGAGGGGATGGAGGTCCATGTACATGTGGGTGCAGATAGTGACACACAAGCCAGGGTTAGGAGTGGCAAATGCCATCCTGCATGCCTTACTGTCACTTTCAGGGACCCAGATGTCCCTTCTCCAGGGAGAAGCCACTTTGGAGTAAGTTAATTCTGGCCTGACTTGCTGCAGACATTCTTGTCATCATAGCTTTATGTCCTGTGTCTGTATTTTCTTGTGTAAAGCCTCTGTTTCCCAGTTTTATGTGGAAAGAGTCACTCCAGCTCTGCTGATTGTCCAGACACAGGCTCCTGTGATGCTCAGCTCTGCTGAAGGGGAGATGTCCTTTGCCCTCCATGAGTCTGGATCTGTGCAAGCCTTTAACCATGAGTGGCAGCTCAGTTGCAAGTAGCTGTCTGAGCATGACTGGGGTGAAGGCAGGCCCTGCTGCAGAGTCGATCTCAGGTATTCAGCTGCCAGACTCCCTGTGGGAAGCACTTTGGGGCAGCTCAGAGGGGCTATGAGCAAGAGAGAGTGGAGGCCACAGTACTCCTCAGGCTGTAGACACCAACATACAGTGTTGTTGCAGTCTCTCTTTTTATTCCAGAGTTAGGAAATTTAATCCACGAACACCAGAGGTTTATGTCCAAAAAGGAGACAGAGGAGTACTGTAACTTTATTCAAATAAAGGGAGAGGTCACAAAGCATTTTCCATGGGGTCTCTCAAATTGTCAGAGGATGCAGCCTCCTTGTTACCCTAATTTCCTGGCTGCATTTCCCTCTCTCCCATTGGCTGAGGTACTTGAGAGGTACAGACTGCCCCAAATGCCTAATACCTAAGACTCCCTTCTAATGTATATCCCTCACCTATTTTTTTCTTTTCTTTGTGTCAATCAATGGAATTTCTATGGAATGCAGGGTTCTTCCCATTGTTTTTTTCATCTCTCTGTATCTAACTTTATCAGCAGATGCAAAGTTTGTTTGTAAAGACAAATTCCTTATTCCTTTCACCAGGCTGCTCGGTACCCTTGTCCTCAGCCTTCAGTACCTGATGACGTCTGGAAGGCTAATCTTGCGGGAGTCCTTTGTGGACAAGAACAACAGAGTCACTGGCTTAAGTCCTCTGTGGACAGCCTGGTTATCAGCAGTCAGTAAAACCTTGTGGGAAATCTCATGTGGTACATCCCAGGTGGACTGGGGTCTGAGGGGGAATCCAAAGTGCTGTTTGAGCTGGAAGCACTGTGGCATTTGTGCTATCTCTGCACAGGGATGCAGACACTTCACATCCATCAAGAGGTTTCTAGGAGCATCTACAAATGCATGGGATGGGTTGGGACCCCTGGAGACCTGCCAAGGGCCTGAATGAGAAGACGGAGGCTTTGTAAAACCTTTTCAAGTCTGGGCAATGGATGTAGGAATGGTACTTCATCTGCTTCCTGCACTATGAAGTGCATGTGTATGGGCTGTTGCAGGGGTGGAGTGAGGTGGAAGATGTTAGGGTGCCTTGGGACTCTCAGCCAGCTTTTGGGTTCAACACTAGAACAAACTGGATGGCTTAATGTGTGTCTGGGACAGCATGACTGTCTCTGACACCTTATTGCTCCTCTGCTCTGCAGCGGATCCTGCTCTACTCCTGCCGTGGCATTGGGCTCAGACAGTTCTTTGCAGTTGTAGATGAACACTATCCTACAATGAGCTGTTTCCTGCTGTTTCCACAGCTCAGTGGGTTCTGGACTGCCAGACCTGTGTGACAGAGCAGCTGGCAGGGCAGGAAGAGCAGAGGCAGAGGCAGGAGTCCTGCAAGGTGCTACATCTCTGCTTGCTCTTCACGCAGGCAGTATGACTAAACCACATGGTATGCATGCTCTGTGGCCACCAGCCTGAGTGGCTGCTGGTGTTGCTGGACTCCTGGATCACAGAGCAGGTGCAGGTAGAAATTGAGTGTTTCCAGGGTGATTTTTAGCCCATGCAGCTCACTGGACAAATGTTCATGCCAGCAAAGAGACAGGGATTAGACTCACCCCTTGGTGTTGGTGATGGTTTGTAGGGACTCTACTGTGTAAGGTCAGAGTTACCCTGTGCTTAGTCCTTTGTCCCTGGGTGCCTCTTCTCTTGTGTTAACAGCAACATGTGCTGATGAGCTGTACTAACCAAAACCCAAGCATACTCAGTTTTGCCAGGTTAGTTTTGGATTGTGCAACCCTGGCTGCACAACAGCTACAAGGGACAGAAATAGGGCAGGCAAGACTGCCCTATCCAAGAAGAGCCTGTGACCCTCTCAGCTCATCTTGGATGTGACATGACCCCAAGAAAAAGGCTGCTCCTTTAGAAAAGGAGAAGAAAGTTGTTAGACTTCCTGCTAGTCCAAGTCCTGTTCTCCTCTGGGACTTGAGTTATTTGCACCCCTTTTTATTCTGGTGGTTTGAAAGAATGTTTTTAGAGCCGTAGCTTTTTATGCAGCTTCATCTCAGGCTTCTTCACTCTCTAGTCTTTGCTGCTGCCTTTCCCGATCACTGTACTGCTGCTTTCTTCAGCTGCATTACTTTTCCCAGAAATGTGTGTTTTCCAGGGATTGAGCTCTGATCCCAGTGTATGTCCCCTTCAGGCTACTAAGGAATGATCTCCTCCATGCTAATGTTTTTGACCTCTGCTGGGAAATAATTTGTATTTGTGTTGGTTTGAGAGCAAGCTGGCCACCTACTGACGAAGGGTGTTCAGACCTGTGTTGGCTGTGTCAATACCCAGCTTGCTCTGTATTTCTCTGTCTGCTCTTCCTTGTCTCTTGTGATCCAGGCTTTCGATGTGCTGATGGCTTCTCCAACATTTTAATCCAAGCTGTCCTGCCTGGGGATGCTCTTCCAGCTGTCTTGTGCCTCCTCCAAAGAGACTGCTCCAAATCCTGCATGTTATTGTGCAGGGGTCTCCCCAGTTCCCTTGTCAAAAATGCCTTGAGGCAACCCTCGGGGACTTTTTATGGCCTTTTAAGATTTGTAAACTTGAGCCAGCTTTTATTCAATGAAACATGGAATTTGAGAAGCTGTGGCAGAGGGAATTTTGTTATGTTTATCTTGTTGATGGAGGCAGACAACAGGAGTCTGGTATAAATATACCTCTTGTGGGGATGTGACCACTTTCCTTCTGCTTTTTTGCACCAGCATCCCACTTCTTTTTTGCTTCCATGCTTCCTTTTCTCTTTTGGTGACATTTCTGCCATAGTTTTGTGCCTGCCAAACTCTCAGGTCATTTCACTTTCTGCTTATAGATCTACATTGAGTTGGATTTGTGCTACCAGCCTCCAAATGGCTCAGCGGGGAGCAGGGTTGAAGAGGATTTTGTCTATCCTGTGAAAGACAGGTATGGAAATCCTAGGAAGATCAAATATCCAGGCAGTTTGTGCAGCTGCCTTTGTCAGTGGCAGACTATGGGATGCAATCCAGTCTCATTTACATCACTTCTGGCCAGGCTGTTGCATCTCAACTCTACAGCAGCAATAAGAGAGCAGGTGTCTTGGATAAAAATACTTTATGATCACAATGAGCTTTTGACTGCAATGATCCATTGTAGGTGCTGTGAGTCCTGAGACTCCCTAGGAGAGCCTTGTGAGCATTTCTGCAACCTTCCTGACTTGTGGTTGCAAAGTTGCAGAGTGCATGGCTTTGGTCTCCAGCAACTGCATGGACCCTGTACGCTGATGGTGCCCAAAGCCAGAGGAGTTTTGGGTTTCTGGGAAGACAGGATGACAGGCAGCAGCAAGGCCTGCAGATTGTCACTTGTGAAACTAGAGGGAAAACAGTAGACACATGGAGTGGACAGTAGATAAGCTTAGGAGAAAATTGCTGGTGTTCCTGCCAAGAAATAAGCAGGAGTGTGGCTGGGGCACTGCTACTTATACACATCAGGGAAGAGCCATGGCACACTGGTCTTTGCAGAAAAACATCTGTTGTTTTTACAGTTCAGAGTTAATCATCCACAATCCTAGATTTGAGCAGCTGGAGTAAGTAGCCCTTGAATGTTTTGGCTCACCCTCCTGGGTGGAGGCAGTGCACAGCCCACTTGCCATGCCTTATGTATGGCTCATGGCATGGGGCGGGGCTTGCAGGACTGCCCAGTGTCTGAGAACGAAGGAACTGGACAAGAAGGTTGCTGCTCTAGGCAGAAAGCTGGGAAAAGGTCTGGAGGCTGATGAAGAAGAGGAAGAGGAGGAAGATTTCTATAATACATCTGAGACTGAAGCTTCAGGCACAATCTTCAGCCCTGTGAAGAGGTATCCATGGCATGCTCTTCTTTCTTGCCCTTGCTTGGGTTTTGATGTAGAAAGTGCCATATCCTGGAGACTCCTGCAGCTCATGGCAGTCTGCTTTGGCAAAATGTTAGAAAACTTCTACCTCTAGTGGCCCTAGACAGGGTGTGTTGAAGATTTGTTCATTTCCAAAGCAATGGGCCATTATTTGCCAGGTTTTCTGTACTGGTTTCAAAATTAGCAAAACTTAGTTAAAAGAGGCATCATCCTCCCATACAGGAGCTCTTGAAGACTCTGAAATATCAACTACAGAAGCTGTAGCTGTTGCTATCAAAGCTTTGGTGTCCTCTGACTTTGGCCGTCCAAAGTGCCTAGAGGTGCTCAGATCTGACATTGGCAGTGGTATGACAGCCTGCAGCCTAAATTGCAAGCAGGGATTGCCTGGGTCATGTGGACATGATTGGACCTTTGGGAAGGATTGTCCCCATGAGCACAGGGTGTCTGCAGTCTGCATGGGGAAATGGCTCTGATTTTCTACTGGCAGGTGAAGCTGATGGCTCCAATCCTTTCTGAGATATTCCCATGTAAATCCAGCTGTTCTTTGAAAAATGTTTTCTGCGGGGCTCCTTTTGTGTTTACCCCACTGAGGAAGCTGTTACAGAGCCCAGGGTCTCCTGGGGCATTCCAAGGAACAGACCCATCAAGGTTCTTGTAAGAGTTTACATTGTTAAGGTAAGTCTCTGGTGGAGGTGGCAGTAATGCTTGGTGGTCTCTCCCCTCCCTGTGGACCTTCTGCCATTCTCTTCTCACTAAATGTGAGCAGTGGCACTTGTGAAAAATGTGATGCTGGCTTGAAGCCTCTGCCAGTGGAAGACACTTACATCTTGTCCATGGAGAATTTTCCATGCTTTATAGCTTGAGGATGGGCAGATGGACATTTCTTAGGTCCTCACATCTGCCTTGAGATCATGAGCAAGAAGGTGGGTCCACAGCTGAAGACATCAATGACTTGTAGAGGGAGGATTTGTGCGGGAACTATTGGCTGGAGGGACCTGACCAAGTGGGCTTGGGTGGTGTCAAGCCTGTGCAGTGTTCCTTGTGTAGATTTCTCTCCACAGATGTGTACAGCAGTATCTCTTGTACATTCCAGGCTACAGATCTGTCTCCAGCAGACCCAAGTGGCAAAGCAGACCCGTATGTGGTGGTGACTTGGGGCACCAGCAGAAGGACACAAAGGAGCGACACATCCCAAAGCAGCTCAATCCTGTGTTTGGAGAGTATGCAGGAAGGTTTCATCTAGCAGGTTTAATAAGAACAGTGCAAATCTGGGACTTGCAATGTGACTCAGTATTTAAGGTCTTCTGTTCCTTTCTGATGGAGACTCTTGTGCTTTAACACAAAGCCCCTGGGCATGTCACTTTGCTCCAGCTAATTCAGGAGCCATTGTGTTTTGGGTTAGGAGGCGAACACAGTCAAGGACTCGATTTAAAATTGGAAGCCAAGCATTGGAGAGATTTTTCCCTAACTCCAGGTCCTCTATCCGAGCCATACATTCCTGGAGAAGTAATTCCTTTGTATAAACATGCACACTGAAAATTGCACATACTGAATTTTGAGAGAACCAAAGCTTATAAGAGGCCTTTAATTTGTCAAATATAGTTCTTAAATGTGTAGGATTATTGAAGCAGAGCATGTGTTTTGTTTCTGTCCTCTGCTAATTGAACTTTCCCTGTTTGTTCTCTCTAGAGTTGTGGAGCTGACAGTCTCCTTTCCCATGGAATCAGAACTCACTGTGGCAATATTTGACCATGATTTGGTTGGATCTGATGATCTGATTGAGGAGACCAAGATTGACTTGGAGAATCGATTCTACAGAAAGCACAGGGCCAACTGTGGACTGCCTTCACAGTATGACTTGTAGGTACCAACGTGACACATTAGGGCCATAGACATTCTTCTCACCTGCCACATGTGGGTAACAGAGCTTCTCCTGTTCTGCAAGACAGAATATACATTTGAAGGTGCTCCACAGATTCACTACAATTTACATGGATAACTTTATCTCTTTAGACACCTACCAGCTTCCTGTGAGAGCTCTAATTCCTACTGCAAACTAATACACCTTGCTTAATACAACAAAAAAAAATTCTTTATTGTTGCTCTATTGAGAGCGGCGAGAAGAACAACACAGACTCTCTTGTGCATTGAACAGGAGACCCTGTGTCGTTTTTCTTGCCGTTTCAAATAGAGCGACACTTTATTGCTTACATTTTGGTGTTCTGTGAGAAAAGTGCTTGCCCGACTCTGACCTCTTTCAGAAAGTACAGCAGTTTCTCTGGTAGCATTTTGTAAGCAGCAACACTCAGGACACCTGATCTCCTTTGGCCTCCTTCTGTATGGATTCCTCCAGTGTCTTTGGCCAGTTTTCTGCAAACCTCTCTTCTATTACCCTGCTATTAGAAAATTAGCTGTAGGAATGGGGTTGAGTACCCTGCACAGCTAAAACCTCTTTCTCACTTAAGAAATGTATCTAGAATTGCTCCTGTTGCTAGCATTGCTTCTGCTGCTCAGAAACTAATAGTTCTATGGAGTGTAAGTTTAGATTGTTTCTGTCAAGACGGAGTTTGTTTACCTTTTCGTTCATTAAAGATTTTTTGTAACCTTTTTAAGCCCAGGGTTTTCCCAGTGAAAATCTGAGCAGGGTTCTAGTGACATAGCCTATGCTTTGGGAAGGAAGGCTGTTTCACAGCCTAGAAAAGAAACTTAAGATGAAGAATTTCTTGATGTTTTCTTTACCCATGCAGAAATGGCTACAACACATGGTGAGATGCTTTTAAACCCACACAGATCTTGGATAGCTTATGCAAGAAAAACTCAATCCCTGCTGCAGAGTACAGATGGGAGGAGGTCAAAGTGGACAATAAAATATTCAAAGTCCCTCCAGAAGCTTTTCCTGAAGGTACAGAGGGCTTGTTGAACTGGTCCCTTTTGATTTTTTTTTGCTGGTGTTTTGTTTTGGGTGTATTTTGGGGGAAGGGGAGGGGGAAGGGAGTGCTTTTTCGGTCTTCTTTCCTGTTTTTAGCTGACTTTTTCCAGGAATCTTCTGTGCTTCCAGTGACTTCAGGTGCCTTGGGTGATTCCACACTGCTCCTCTCTATTGTTGATCTCCAACTTATGAGCAGCTTCTGCTTCTCATTTGCTTTTTTCTTTCCTTCTAACTGGCATTACAAACTCTGAGCCAGGGTCACAGATGACCATGAACACTCCAACCTTTCACCGCCTTCACCAGCAGTGATGGACAACTTCCCTCAGCAAAGGCCAGGCCCTGCTGCAGCCAACACCTGTGCAATTGAATCTAGCCTCGAGCAAAGGCTAGAGCAGTTGTGGCTCACTTGTGGATGGCTGAGTACTGAAAGGTAATGTTACGTGTCCTGTAGGAAAGATGATCCATGGCCTTACCTGCTGTCCTGGTTTAGCGCAAATTTGGGAGAAAACCTCCAGTGGGGCTCCCCCCCCCGGGAAGCAAACCCACGTGGCCCTTTTCCCTCCACCCCCCAACCGGTTTGGGAAGAGATTTCTCTGAGAGAAGTGGAAAAAACCTGTTTATTTCACAGGCACAACACTATCCAGCACAAAAATGAATGATATCAAATTACAAAACCTCTCGCCCTTCAGAAGAGATGACGAACTTCAGAGGGTCTCTTTCCTGGGGGTGTTCACTCTGTTATCAGTCCCTCTGGCGCTGGAAAATGCCGCTGCCCAGGCTGGGCTCCCGGTAGTCCACGGGTGCAAGCTCCCGGTGCTCCCCCGGGTCCCCAGTCCAGAGCAGGTTCGATTCGTTTCAGAAAAAGGGAAAGAAAACAGTCCAGGAAGACCTCTCTGCTCCGGCTAGCTGGAAAGCCAAGGCGATCTGTGTCTTGTTGTCTGTCTGTGCTGTAGTCAAAACTCCCGATGCGGGGGGAGCAAGTACAGTCTCTGATAACAGACTTGGTGCTTCTTTTCCACTCACTTTTACTCTCAGATGGAATTTTAAGAATACAGAACCTGTTTCTGGGTTAGGTGGACGAATGGGGATACAATTTAACATCATAATCAACCCAGGACACCTGCTCAGTGTGAGGACAACTGTGTGTATGGCCAACTCTACTTTTTCATTGTTTCAGTGCAACTGTTCCTGTTTTTTTTTTGTAGAGTGGTCTCTATGGCTTATGCAAAGAAGCAAAAAGAAATTCTATTCAGGGCAGGGAGGGCAAGGAGCCTCCAGAACCCCTTTCCCCCCTCTTTTCAGGTCACTGGATAGCTGGGGAAGGAGAAACAAGGGGTTTTCCTGGTGTTCCCTGACAGCTGGCTCTGGTTCCAATACAGCTGCAACTGGTGCCCTGTGAAGCTCTTCTGTGCTTGAGCACTGCTTGAAATGGTTTAGATCTCAGTCTGGTATCCAAGGGGCAGATGCTATAAACCCAGGAGTAGGTGGGTCATTATGCCCTCACCTGTTGGCTCTGGCTTTTCTCCCAGCAGTATGATTTGGTCTTAAGCTGCCATTTGGCTTCCCTGTGCCAAAGGAATCAGTTACTAATTGTGTTCATTAACATAGAGCACAGCTGCATGTCTTAAGATTAGCAAGTAATGCTTTCCAGTAACACTTCTCTGGCAAAAATTCATCCATGGATCTGTTGGCACTACCACAGAGATGTGGGGACTTAAACTGCCCCAGAGGTCACGTCCTACTCAATGTCCCTTGGATCTTTCTCTGAGGGCCAGAGTAAATTCTTTTTTGCCCTTTCCACTGCATTTCTCTTGGCTTGTTTTCTTCCTGCCTTCCATTTCTCTCATCACTGCAACATATTGAACTCACTCCCCTCCTGCTTCTTGCCATTTGATTTTCTGGAGAGGTTCTTGTTTGCCCAGTCCATCATCTCCTGTTACTTGTGCTAGTGACTGATGTCCTGACATGACTCTTGCTGGCCAGAAGCCTTCAACTTCTCCCTGGCTGTGTCCTGCTGCAGAGGTCTCTGTGAGGAACAAGAGAGGAGTGGCAGATCAGAACTTGTTGGTGGATGTTGAACGTAAGGCTTTGTACATCCTGCAACACTGGGAAGAGATGCCAGGATATGGGTACAAGCTAGTACCAGAGCACGTGGAAATCCGGTTTTTGTACAACACGGAGAAGCCTGGGCTAGTGCAGGTGAGATGTGTTTCTGTGCCAAACCTCAACATTGTTTCAGGGAAGGACTTTCTGGACACCTGATTTCCAGCCCCCTCTCTGGTTTCCTGTGAATCTTACTCATTGTCCCTTTCCTGGGTTGTGACTGGAGTTATGTCTGTGGATGGCTGGCCCAGCCGGCCCCAGGCCATTTAGCACTGCTCTGATGACGATGCTATGAGGGTGTCAATAGACCTGCTCTGCTTTTGAGCCCTGCCACCATGCACTCCTATCGGTGATGGTATCCTTGCCTATACCTGCCTCCTCTGCATTGTCCCTTATCACTGCTGTTTTGCAAGAACCTCGTTCCACTCCCTTGTCTTCTCCCTGGCTGAAGAAGGAACACCCATTCTTAGTTTTGTGCAATGCCGTCACCTGAACTCACCATTTCAATGTCCTGCACTGAAATCCCCTGTTCCCTTGGGCACCAGAGTTCTGCAGTCATGCTGGCTTTGTTTGGCATTGTAAATGCACGTGGGGAGAGCAGTGTCAGACCCATCACTTCTTAGTTTTGTTGGTTTTGCTCAAGGATTGCATCACCATATGCTTCTTATTAAGACAGAGGGAATTGTTTACCTCTGTTTGAAATGGATTGTAGGTGAAGTGGTTTTCCTTGGGAGCAGAAATAAGCAATCTTTCATAGCCTTAATTTTTTTCCCTGTGTAAAATCCAATCTCATGTCACTCTTAAGTGCTGGGAATTGAGAGAACCAAACAGGGGCTTTCTGATGAAAACTTTCTTTGCAAGACCAAGCCCATGATCCTTGAAGAGCTGGAGGGTGATCTGTCTTTTGAATTACCTTTGCTGTCTTCTCTCCTCAGGGCTCCTTGCATATGTGGATTGACATGTTCCCAAATGATGTCCCTGCACTACCAGCCATCAACATCAAGACACGACTGCCTGTCAGGTAGCACCTGTGGGAGTAGACCTGGGGCTGGTGGACTGCAGGGAGGGTCAATGTCCCTTGCCATGGCTCGTGGGATGTGCTCATGGCACAGGCTGAGGGTCAGTGGTAGTGTGGCATGTAGCCCTCTTTGCTCCAGCTCTGACCACAGGGATGTTCTCTGATCGTGGGCCATAGGAGTTTCAGCTGTAGGAAAGTTTGAGGAAGGCCAGGTTAATATCTCTATGGCTGGACATAAAGGTAACAGAAACCCAGGCCAGAGCTAGTTATCAAACTCTGTTCTTGGGATGTCCTTGGGAGCCTGGAGCAATGCAGCTGAAGGAGGAAATCTGCTATTTACAAGGATCTAATGGTACTTTTGAGATGGAGGGTCTAAATTATTTTCAGACATGCACCTGAAAGGACAAGAGATTGCACAAATTGCAGTAAGGGAAACTCCAATGAGGGATAATAAGGAATGAATATAGGGAATACATTTTCCCAGTGAGAGTGAAGCTACCCTGGAATAAGGACAGATTGTCTCAGACGTACTGGGATGTCCATCCTTGGTTGTTGGGGAGGGTGAAACAGGGAAACCTTATGAATATTATTGTTTAGCAAAAGATTCTGAAAATATGAAGCCTAGAATTTAAATAGAAATGAGAGCTAGCTTTGAGCCATAGGATACTGAGTGCTACTTACTGTATAACCAAAGAACAATAGCTTAGCCAGCTTAAAGGAGAATCCCTGTTGATGAAACTATGTCCTTCTGCAGATAGAGAATCCAAAGGTCAAGCAACAAGAGAAGAATTTGTAAAGCTTTTAGAGTTTAAAATGTAACACTGTATGGTAATGTAGTAGTTCTTATAGGCTATGTATAAATTCTTTAGTAGGCATGTCTTGTAGTAATTGGTTACTGGAAATTAGAATATTCACAATAGAAAAAGATATAATGTAGCAAGAGCTTCTCTCTCTTTAAGCTTGTCTCTCTTGTTGCCCCCTCTCTCTTAAGCTCTCTTACTCTTGTTCTCCCCACTCTCCCTCTTTTACTCTTTTTCTCTCTTCATGCTACGGCGGTATTGATAGCAGGGGTGCCGTGACTACCCTGAAGAAGCTGTCCTGAAAGCATGTAGGCAATGCAGAGAGCGAGATTAGAGCACTGTATGGCATTCCACCAAGAAATAGCTTTTATTATAGCTGGGCCCTCAGTGAAGGGAGGCAGTGACAACAGCTGCTTGAACTGGGGAAAACCCAGGATATTTATAGGGAAGGAGAGGGGCGGGGGAAACTTTGATACATGTATCAGGGTGGATTGATAGGGAGGGAAACCAATAGGGTGCAACAAATTAACATGTTCTACTCAAAGGCCTCTGGGAGTGACACTTTTTCTCTGCATGACATAAAGTGTCTCGCCTAGGGAGAAGCTCACCAAGGGAGAGCCAGGAGCTCTGAACTGGCCAGTTCCCCAGCCTCCACACTTCGCTCTTTAAGCTCTTTCCCCTGGCTCTTAAACTGTCTCTCTCTCTGCTCCTCTCTCTCTCCCTCCTTGACAATGTGTATGCTGCAGCTGGTGGCAGATAGATGTCTCTGCCTCCCTGTACCCATATAATAAATTGCTTGTATCTGAACAGCTTGACCCTGGAGAAGTCTCTCACCACGAGTGAGTGTTTTGTATATCTATACTTGGTGATATTAAAAACTAATGCAGACGAGGCCATGAGCAATTGACCTACTATAAAGCTAGAGCAAGAGCTTGGAGCAGAGACTGCGGAGATCCCTTCCTGCCTAAGCTTTTCTGTGCTCCTATGGCTTAGTAGAGCTGGGTGGGTTTCCCATGCACCAGGGATTTGGTTTGCAAAAGCTACCTGTACTGACTGTCGGTGTTTTTCTAAGGCTGTAGTGTCCAGAAAGGGTTTTATGTCCTGACTGCTGGGCTGTGCTTGCAGGGAGGGGCAGGTGGAACCACACTTCTGGGAATGTTCAAGTCCTGCTGTTCTGGCATTGTACTTAGGGCTTGATCTGCACTCCCAGGCACCAGGAACAAAGGCATATGTCTCACCTCTGTGTCCTTCCCACAGCTATGAGCTCCGTGTGATTATCTGGAACACGGATGGTATGATCCTTGACGATGTTAACCCAGTAACAGGAGAGTTTTCAAGCGACATCTACGTGAAAAGGTCTGGTGGGAATGAGTGGGAGACCAGAGCCTGGCTGCCCTGCTCCCTGTCCTGGCCCACACACTCAATTGCCTCCTCTAAACCTTTGCTCCTCATTGTCTCAGTGTGATGTGCCCACTCCAGTCCTCTGCTTGGGCTGCTGTAGCCCCAGAGATTGTCCAGGCGTCGCACTCGTTTGACCCTTTCCTGCTACCCCACGGAGTTCAGTGCTTCCATCCTTCTGCTCTGCCTTTGAAGCTGACTGACAAGGGTAGAGGGTAACTGAGTTTCTTCTGCAGCTGGATAAAAGGTCTTGACCATGACAAGCAGGAGACAGATGTTCACTTTAACTCCTTGACTGGGGAAGGCAATTTCAACTGGAGGTTCATCTTCCGCTTAAATTATCTCCCGACTGAGAAGGAGATCACCTACAAGAAAAAGGACTTTGTCTTCTCCATGGAAGAATCAGAGTTTCGGGAACCAGCTGTTCTGGTCCTCCAGGTCTGGGATTATGACAGGATTTCAGCTAATGACTTTCTAGGTATGGTGTTACCTGCTGGAAATGGGGTGACTTGCCTTGCTGGAGCATTACAGCATTTACCTGGGGTTCAACTCTCTGAGAGGGGACAATAGAACAATCAGATCAAACTCTTCAGCTCAGCAGTCACCTGGGCTGGTTTTTCACACCTGACCTATAGACAGAGTGTGAAGATAGGCACCTCCTCTACACAGACCTGTGCTTGCATGCTTGTTCCAGGGCCTTGGTGTATTTTTTCAGGGCCTGTCACACCATAAGACTTCCGCGTTCTACTTCCCTCATAACCTTTCCAATAAACTTGCTTGTTTTCTATGCTCTTCCTTAGATATTCAGATCTCAAAGTCTGGGCCTAAAAGCATTTTTCCCAGGACCTTACATTGTGGACACAGGGACAACCTGTGTGAGACTATTGACAACCTTTGTGAGACTATTGGCACTTGCATTGCAGCATCCCATTGCTGGGGGCTCAGAGCTCCCTGGATGCTCTGGTACTTCCTGTTAATCAGACCTGCTAAGCTGAGAATGCAGCAAGGCCTGGTGCCAAAACAGAGCTAGTAGTGATTCCCCACTCATTATGCTAGCACATTATCAACACAAGTACTGCCTATTCTCTCCCATTTCTGCTATCATCCCCAAGATTATAGCGCTCTATTTAGTTGTTCCTCCCTTCTTCAAATATTAACCTCCCTATTAAAAAGCAGCCCCTTTCCCCTGCTATCTCCTGGGCATGTTTAAACTTCAACTTTTCATAGTGTATTTAAGTGGTTTACAGCATGAGGCGCTTCCAGTGGTTCAGCCATGAAGAACTGAGGCACTGAAGAAAGCATTAAAAATTCCAATGATTTCTGGCATGTATCTCAGGAACTTCTAGATAAAAAGGGGCTTTTGGAGGGTTAATTGCAATCTCCAGCCCCAAGCAGGGCTAGATGAACTGTAGGTCAGGTTGATCAGGACATTTTCTGGGTGGGTTTTGATTATTTCCAGGGATGGATTCCTAGCACCCTTCTGGGACCCTTTTCCTGGATGCACTTTTTTCACAGTTCTCAGGTATTTTTACTTGCAGAATTTTTTGTTGGTTGATTTATGTGCTGTCATTATCCATTTCTGAGAAGAGTCAAGCTCCATCTACTCTGTAGCTTGCTTTAGGTTGTGAGGGATGCCGTAAGATCTCCCTCTTGGCCTCTTTTCTGTGGGCTGAACACATGTTTCTCACCCCTCTTGCTGTGGCACCTACTACAGACTTGAATATCTCGGCCACTAAACTCTTTTGACACCTTTTTGTATTGGAGAGTCCAAAACGGGGCACTGTATCCAGATGCAGTCTCACTTGGAACTGAGCAGAAAATGCTCACATCCCCTGTCAGCTTTTTCCAATACAGACCAGGATGTGGTAAAATTGTTCTGTTGCAAGGGCTCACTACCAAAGTGGGACAGGAGTTCTTTCCGAGCAGAACCGAGGCACAAAGCCAAACAGACCAAACAGGGAGATGAACGGAGGCTTTTGCAGATGTAAGACAAACTTGAAATCTTTAAAGAATTTATAATTTAAAAACATTATCATTTTATAATTTTAATTGACATTTCCAGGAATTAGAGAGGAAGATGAACTTCAGCATGTGAGGAGAGCAGGGTGGGACGTGATAAAGGGCTGAAAATAACTCACCATATGATCTCACCAAACAGCTCTTATCGAAAAGGAGACCTGGGGCTTCTACCTCTTAGTCTCTAACTCCTGAGCTAGTCCTTTCTTATGCAAAATTTCAGGTTCTCCATCTGTAAATGTGCAGGATTCTGCTAGATCATTACAGCAGCTGAGACCTATTCATGGGAGTTGGGAGTGTGGCAGAGGCAGCCAAATATCGTGTGGGGCTGACCTCAGCATTTTATCATGTGGTTTCATCTTCCCTGTGCCTGCAGGCTCCATCGAGCTGAAGCTGCATGACATGGTGTGGGCAGCCAAGAGCTCTCGGCATTGCACCATCAAAATGGCCAAGGAGAATGCAATGCCTCGATTCTCCATCTTCCGAAATAAGTGCATGAGGGGCTGGTGGCCCTTCATCAAACTCAGACATCAAGAAGATGACAAGAGAGAGGAAAGGGAGTACTGGAAGAAAAAGAAAAATAAGTGGAGCAACTCAGTCAAACCAGAGGACATGGAATTCACAGACCCCAGTGGGAACAAATACCTCCTGACAGTAAAGCTGGCACTGGTGAGCACAGCCAGTGTTTGCCTCTGCCTTGATATGGCAGCCAGTCCTACATGCACACAACCTGCAAAGGCAGCAGTGACCCAGCTTTTGCAGGATCCTTCCATCTACTGCTGATCCAGCACTTCGTATACCCTGAAGAACTAGCTGCTGCGGCATGGAGGGTTGTCTGACTTCATGTATTCCTCTGAGCTTCCCATAGAGCAGTGCGCCATGAGGGGAGCTATTGTTGCTTAGGAATTTAGTGTCCCCCTGAAGTACACCAGACGATGTTCTCCTTGCTCACTCCTACCTCAAAGCAAGAGGAATATGGCTCCCCATCAGCCAGTCAGGACAGCAGCAGAAGCCTGTCCTGGGGTTTCTGCCCAAGGCAGGCTGGTGCCAACTGACCAGGGACAGACTCGCTCCTGATACCCCTGCTACTGGACCACTGTGTGTCCCCAAGGGTGAATTTTGCTCAGTACCACTGTGGGAGGGTACAGACAAATAGGGTAGTCGGGGAGTTCATTAAGATACAGTTCTTTGTCTGCAAAATAGTTTCTTACCAGGCCACTGTTTCCACTGGCTGTGAAATAAGGCTCTGTAGCCAATGGAGAAAAAGCTCTGAGACATCTGTAAGTGGAACTGGGAGAAAAATACCAAATTGTTGCAGGATGTGTGGTCAGTGGGCTGGTCTGTGAAGCAACACTTTCAACAGTGGCTTGTACATATTGTCCCTCCAGGGTAAGGTGGAAGCGGAGTTCCAACTTCTGACTGTGGAAGAGGCTGACTAAAGTCCTGTTGGCTTAGGCCGAAAAGGGCCTGAACCCCTGGAAAAGCCCAGGTGAGTATCTGTATTATCACCTCTAGGATGGACAGACAGTGCTGTGTTCTTAGCACCTGTTTGTGTGGAAAATGGGAGTATTGGCCTGCCAGGAAGCCAAGAGCAATTGCTAAGGCCCTGGGCAGTGGGCTCTGCAGGACCAAGACTGCCAGGGTTTCCCAGAGCTCAAGTGGGCCCACAGGACTTGAGACTGCAGCACCTGGGTTGATCTCCGGATGAAACTCAAGGCAGCTGTGCCATAACATTGATTGTACAATTGTCAGGTCTGTCTGTGTGAAGGGATCCCTTGTGTACAAGGGTGAAGGACAGCTCTGGGGACATTGGGGCACTATTCCAAGAGTCCCTATCTGTTGTCTCTAGTGTTTCCACCGGCAGTGCATTTACTGTAACCCCTGGGCTGATCCTGCTTAGAAGCAGTGAAAAGCTGGTGGTTCATGAGGGTAGCAAAGCACCAAAACAGAAGGGCCAATGTGATACTCTGTGGATTGAGCCTGTGCTTATCTGTTCTTTTCCTGTTCTAGTTGGCTCAAAACAACTTTCAACTGGTTTGTGAATCCTATGAAGACCTTTGTTTTTTTTATCTGGAAACGGTACAAGAAATACATAATTATGTTGTTTGTTGTCACTGTTGTGACCATCTTTCTGGTTCTTCTGGTTTACACCATGCCTGGATACATCAGTGAAAAGATCATCAACGGATAAATGCTCTCCAGCAGAGGACTCAAAAACAGGAGTGATTGCGGCAGGAATCAAAAGAGCATCAGAAAACTTAATGAAATCCTGCAGGTGCATTGACAGCCTAAAGACACAAAGACCTGCAGAAGTGAGCTTTGTTTTCCTCATGAATAAAAGCTGTCTTTCTCTCTGATGCTTGTGTTTTTTAGCTGCTTTTTGGAGCTGGGGGACAACCTGTTTCTTTGTGCAATACTGTGTGATGAGTAACAGCTGGCCTGAAGGCCTCACTGTTATAATAATCCCAAATTTATAACTGAACTATAACTAATTCTGTAACTACCTTAATAATATAACTACCTTAATTATATACTCGACCAGTATGGAGCGTTGCGGAGCAGGTAAAGCTGTTAGGGACACGGGCAGTTAATGACTGGTTGGCCAGATGGCAACTGGTTCAGCCAGTCAGGACTCACTGTGCAGATCTTCAAACTATATAAGGAGAATAGCACTCACTAAAGTTGGCTGCTGTCACATGAATCTCAGTGTGTTCTGTTGCATACCTGTCTCCAACATCAGCGACGAGTGGTGACCACCAACATGACACAACATGCTGCCATGGATACTGCAAGAAGACAGAGGGCAGTGGGTGAAAGAAATTGGCCAGGAGAAAAGACTCCTGTCTTATGCCTTTATTAGGATTCAGTTCTTGGGGTGGGGGGCCCAAGGGGTTGCTTGCACCACGACCATTCCCACACTGTCAGCTCCAAGGAGGAGGCACAATTCAGCTTTGCAGCACACACTGCAGAGCTGGGGCTTCCATCCTCATGAGAGTAGCCAGGGGGCCTGCAGTTCTGGCTCATTGTCTAGGGGGGTCAGTCCTTTCCAGTCCTCTTGAGGTCATGGTGATGCAGGAAGATGGTTTCTAAGCAGGCTTAGGTGATGCAGGGAGATGATCTTTCATCATAGCTTGCTAGAATATTTCCTTGTCCTTTTATTCCTCTGTTAGCTCGTTGTTTTGGTGCCTTGCATGCCTTAGTTTGCATATTACTCGGTTGCACAGCTTCCTGGGAGTTTCTTTGTTCCAGTGTGGCACAGCCTCCATGAGAGTTGCTTTGTTCTAGTCCATGGGAGTTGCTTCCTTCTGTGGCATACCGTTCCTAATGGGTTGCTTTTGTTAGTCTGACTCAGCCCCCATGGGAGCAGCTTAGTTACATAGTAGCAAGGAAGTAAGGGAAAGGGTACAGGAATGCCTCATAAGAACCTTTAAAACACTTCAGAACCTGGTAAGTAATTAACATTACTAATAACCATCGGAGTAAATGAGCTGAGATCCTGGGCTGGTGGATGAGGTGTATCAGCAGCTCCGCAGCGGTGGCTGGCACTGCCGTGCGTCCCGGCAGGACAGGGGGTGCGAGGCCACCAACAAAGAGGGGAGAAGAAGGAGCAGCAGCTCCGTCTGGGTGATGGCAAAAAATTCCCTTCTCCCCACCGCAGCAGCTCCGTGACCCAGCAAACGAATGTCTTTCCCCGAAGCCGAAGAAAGCCAGCCAAAAACTGTCCCCACCCTCCTTTCCTGCCCCCTTCCCCCCCTGGGCCCGGCCACTCTTTGTGTTTTGTTGAGTGCTCACTAAATACCCACAGTGAAGTTGTCTCCGCAGCTAATGGGTAAAAATTCCACGGGCAGGCCAGAACAACAACAACAACAAAAAAGGACATCTAACCCTCAACAAGTGGCAACAGCAGAACATAGCAATAATGTCACTGATTAGTTAGAAAAGGAAATTGATATTGGGCTATTCCAGTTCCCTCAGGGTAAATGAGCATCCAAGGGGTGTCCTGGGAGGCTGGGCAGAGAGGGTGGGTGAGAAGGCATCCTGTGGTGTCACTGCCACTGGTCTTCGTAACATATCACTGCAGGTGACACATGGGATGCTGTTCCAGAGGTACACAAAGGTAGTAAAACAGGTGCTGGCCCTCTGCCTGCTGCTGGTCATGTGGCAATGTTTTCAAGCCCTCACAGATGGCAATGGTCCCGTCTGTTGGGTTCCCTTCCTCCTCCACACCTCTACTGCCCACTGCATCACCTGTACCAACAGCCCTGCATGGTTCAACGCCTGCTACAAGGCAGCCATAGGGCCTCTGCTGATGGGTGCAGACCACAAGCTCCTCAGATGTTTTTCAGTGGTGGCTGCTAAGTGAAGCAATGGGCAGGAGCTTGTGGGTCTTCCCAGGCTCCCTGAATCTGTTTGCAGTGGGACGGGGCCAAGAACAGATATTCTGGGGATAAAAGGATGCAGAGATCCCAGGTCAGCCTTTCCTCCACCTTGTACCCTGTCCCCTGGACTGTTTTGCACCCTTTCTCTAATATCCCATCTGTTTTTTCTGTCTTTTCCCAGGTCTCTGCTAGGAGAAATGGGACTCTGTGTCCCTTTGGATTACTGGTGGAGGTGCTAATGCTGCATTGTCACTGTGCTTGCTCCTCTAGACCCTGCAGGGTCCCCCAAGTGGAGTCTAGCTTCAGGCCATAATTCAGCAGCTCTTCAGTGTCCTCCGGGCCCTGACAGCTGATGTGTGGGACCCATCTCGCTGCAGGACTTGTGCAGTGGTGGGGACCTCCCAAGGTGGGTGGCTGAAAGGGTCCAGCCATGGGCTTCTAATTGATGCTCATGACTGCATGCTGAGGTGACCTAAACTGACTTGGTCTCTCCCTGTCTTCCCATAACCCTGGCATGCCCCAGCTCATGGGAATGCTGTTGAAATCTGCCAGTACAAATCCTATGATGGAGGTAGCTAGCTGACCCTGCTCTCTGGAGCCCTCCATCCTGAGTCACACAGACCTTGTGTCATCCATGTCCACTCTTTGCTGCTGGCTGGAGACCTGTCCCTGCCTGTTGGGACCAAGATCCTGGGACCAGCAGGCCATGCACCTTTGTTTTGGGACACACCATCCTGCTCTCCTTTAGGACAAACAGAGCAGAGATGCCTGGCTTTGAGCTGGATGTTGGCATGAGTACAACACATCACTTCATGTGTTGCATATAGGTAAAACCTTATAAAATAAGAGCCTTCTTACACTTGTAAAATCATAGATTAGGCCTGATGCATCAGCTGGGTGCAGCTAACAGCTAGTCTAGCAAGTTCCGGTGAGAAAGGAATTGCACCTGTGAAAACAGAGGCTCTAACCATGATAGATAAATGTTCATGTACCCATGAAACAAGAATGTAAACATCGTTAGAGAGGAAAGTTTTTGGCAGACACATACACTAGCAACTACTAGCCACTGAACTGAGTTGCAATAAGTTCCTAATCAATTTGAATGAAACACCTTTAGATGCCTTTAGAAAACCATATAAATATGAGCTGTGAACAATAAAGATTGGGCTATTGTGCATGGAGAAGTGTATTGTCCATCTCTACAGTGACATTCATGTGCCAAGAGAGTGCAATGATCTAACCGTGTCCTTGTACCCTTCTGTCCTGGGTTGATTATGATGTTAAATTGTATCCCCATTCATCCACCTATCCCTGACATAGGTTTTGAATTCTTAAAATTTCATCTAAAAGTGACTGGAAAAGAAGCACTGAGTCTGTAATCAGAGACTGTACTTGCTCCCCTTGCATCCTGGACGGGGTTTTGACTACAGCACAGACAGACAGCAAGAGACAGATCGCCTTGGCTTTCCAACTAGCTGGAGCAGAGAGGTCTTTCTGGACTGTTTTCTTTCCCTTTTCTTTGAAACGGATCTAACCTGCTCTGGACTGGGGACTCGGGGGAGCACCGGGAGCTTGCACCCGTGGACTACCGGGAGCCCAGCCTGGCAGCAGCATTTTCCAGCACCAGCGGGACTGATAACAGAGTGAACACCCACAGGAAAGAGACCCTCTGAATTTTGTCATCTCTTCAGAGCAGCGAGGGGTTTTGTAATTTGATATTGTTCATTCTTGTGCTGGGTAGTGCTGTGCTTGTGAAATAAACAGATTTTTTCCACTTCTCTCAGAGCAGTCTCTTCCCAAACTGGTTGGGGGGTGGGAGAAAGGGGCCACGTGGGTTTGCTTCCCGGGGAGAGCTCCTTTGGAGGTTTTCTCCCAAATTTGTCCTAAACCAGGACACCTTCAAACTTCTGGACATACAGTGGGTGACTTGTGCTTTCTCCACCAGAGAACTCACAAGGCGTGTCAGTTTTGTGGGATAGTGTCTCTTGTGCTGGAAACACTGTGGATGGAACAGTGCAGTCTGGGGGTTCTGGTGCTTCACTGGAGAGCTGGCACTAGTAGTGATGGCACAAAGAGTACTGGGCATCCTTCTGCCCTGCATTTTGAGGTAGCTGAGCATTGATCTGTCCCCACAGGGCTCAGGCAACTGCAGTACCATACCCCTATGAGTGGGATGGCAGCTGTCCCCACAGTGGGGCCATAAGGACTTGGTGTGTCCCTTCCTACAACTAGGCCAGGGGATGCTGCTGGGCCAGGCCAAGGGGTGGGGATGCCACTGGGCTGGGTGCTGGCAGACAACAGATACCCTATGCAAAGAAATGGGCCCCCTCAGCAACAGGTGTACTACATAATCACTGCTCACCTCCGCTTTTGCGGCACATATGTGAGAGTTAAACAGTTCATCAAAGCTGACAGGATCAAGGTAATTGCTCTGTGGACTCCAGCTCCTCAGAGCTGAGAACCAATGGCTGCACTGTGTTGGGCTGGCTGTCCTGTTCCAGCATGGAGAGTACTTGATCACTCTACTCTCCACTCAGGTGTCGATCCTGAGCCCAGCTTTCCTCAAGTACATCCATGACAATTGGACACCAGTTCATTGGATAGATCCACCAGTCAGTGGATACCCTTCCACTGACTTCACAGCCCTGCTCTCTGCCTTGCACACCTGCCAGGTGAGCACAGGCAGTGGTACCAGATGCTGCCACTGCACCTCCCCTACACTGCTTGTCCATATGCTTGTAGGACGCCCCAGTGCCCACACAGCATTGGCTCTTGCTGGCATGTGCACAGGTTTCCATGTTTGGCTTCAGAGCAGACAGTGAAGGGAACTGGCACCACTCCTGGGAAAAAAACTTGCTGGTCCAGAGCCTTTCACAGGACTAGGGTCCATGATGCTGATGTTGAATTCAGCTGCATCAAGAGATAGGCACATGAAGGCAGGATTTTATTCTACAAGTGATACATTTCCAAGAAACTGGAGCCAGGCTGTTTGGCCAGGAATGGGCCAAAGGGCATTGCCAGCAGCTGTCCTGGGTCTTTAGCTTGCTGCTCCACCCCACCACCTGAGCTCACAGACCCTGCAATTCAGAGGGTTTTGGTACTATTTGTGCTGGTCCTACCAGCTAGGTACTGTGGGTGCCATTCTTCCATGTCAGCCGTGATGTCACATTTAGCTGGATATAGGGTGGACACCGTTCTACCCATGCTGGTTGGGAGGGACAAAGGGGAGATGTTGGGGCTGGAGATGGTCATGGAACCTGTGAGCTGCTGTGTGTGGCCCTGCAGGACTGTGAAGCCAGTGGTGGACAGCAGCTGGTCAAATGTAGCTGTCCACATGACAGAGCTGGTATTTCCACCCACTGATGGCTTCTGAGGGAGGTTTGTAGTTGTTCTTAGGAAAGATGTCCCTCTCACCCTGTGCAGTCTTTTGCTAAGTCTTTTATTCTTCCATGTGGGAAATGGAAAAACAGAAACTTCTACCGATGCTGAAGGGTTCAATCTGCAGCCTTAGAAAGAGCTTGGGTTAATGTAATGATAAAGGTACACAATCATTAAGTAGAAAAATGCTAAACTTGTGTTTCTATAATTGTAATAATGTGCCTTGAGTAAGTAAGAAATTATATTAGGTAAAATAGTGAGAAGTTTGAGCTGTAATAATGTGACTTTTAGGGTAAGCTAAGGATCTAGAAGCTATAATAGAGGTGTGTGTGTAGGTATGTGACCTACCAGTTTATTGCCTGAAAGACAGGCACAATTAGGCAAAGGTGATAGATTATTAAGTAGAAACAAGTTTCGTGTTAACTGTGTATCGGACCAAAATGTTATATATTGTGATGTGACGAAGAAACCTGTGACTACCTTTAAGCTATGGCTGACTTGTTGCTTCTCTCCAAATCTCATGCTCTCAAGACTGATACCTGGCTAACTTAAGCAATAAAGCATCTTAAATAGCATGGTGGTCCCATCCCTTGTTTTTCATCTTGACACTTCCAGTCTTTAACTAGGGGAATATTTTTTAAAATTCCATCTAAGAAGAGTAAGAAGGGAAAAATGGTGACAGAAGACAACAAAATTGAATAAATTTAAAATGTTCTTATGTTGAATAAACATTGAAAACACATGTGAACCACCATTTCCTTTGCTTTTTGATCCCTTACAACTTTGAAAGGGGTACCCCTGCAGAACAGACTGCATGAGCTCCCCAAAGTAGGTTTTTCTCCTCCAGTGATCGTAAAATATTTTAAAATCATAGAAAATTTGGAGAGTTACAAAGAAAGCTAGGCTTGGTAAGCCCTGGGAAAAGTAGGCCCTGGGAAATGTTAGACTTTGTGCTTGCTAAGATCATGTGAAACTGCACCTGTGTAGTTAGTACATAATAAATGATACAATTGTTAGATGTGATTAGATATAATTATTGTTTAATGAATCATGAGAAACTATGTTAGGGGTTTGAAGGGGATAATGAGAAATCCATGCTTGGGTAAAATCAATGTATACAATAGAACAATGTAAGTTTAATAATTAATAATGTAAGTTATATAATAACAAAGTATAAAACATGTTCAGCTCAAAACCAAGTTGGGTCAGATTTGGGTATGTGTACCCCTGACACCCAGAGCTCTTAATAAAGCACCTTCATATAATCATTCCATGATTATGTGTTCCTGAACACTAACATTTTGGCAACCCAGATGGGACCTTGTGAGTGCTGCTGAGCGAGCTTGTGACCCAATCATGCTCCAGCCGGCACCGAGGGATTCTCGGGGAGTCCATTAGCTGCAACCATCTCCGCTGCTCACAGCATCTCCAGGAGAAGAGGTAAGGTACTTTACTTTGGTTTGGGTGCCTGACAATAAGACGCAGTGAAAGCTGTGCTTGGTTGGGCTAAAGGAATTCCTGTTGGTATTGCCTAGGCGCCATCCATAAGACGACTGCAAAAGTGTCGCAAGTTCAGCATTTGTGGTGTATTGTAGTTGTAATATGGAGAAGATTAAAGTGATTTTGGGCAGCAGTGCTCCCATACCAGGTACTTCTCCTTTGGAGTACTTATTACCACATTGGACACAAGGTAACTTTGGGGAAGAATACACAAGGCTAAGTTAATTTGGGTGAGACCTCCCCACAGGAGAAGACCCCAGTGACCCCGTCTCATCTGTTGATAGCTATAACCCCCCTCTTCTCTCTCTCTTTGTTTTATTTCTCCCTCTTTCTCTCCCTCTCCTCTGTCGCATAGCCCTTGTTGTTGGCACTAAAATAAAAGTATATTGTTGATAATATTTTATATATTAGTAAAGGCCTGTCTGCACAAACTAGCCTTTGGAATAAGTCATGATATTAAAGGCTAAAGTCCTTGAAACTTTCCTGCAGAAGAGAGAGTAAAGCAAAACAATATCCTTGTATAAAAGGGAAAAAATGTAAACCTATGTGCATTAGCCAATAGTTACTTGCTTAGCCCGCAGATCCTGTAGAACCCTATAAAAGGTGTGCTAAAGATAGAAATAAATGGCGTTCACGTTTACTTCTGTGAAGGGTTGTGAATAGCTGGCGGTCTCTCAGTATCTGGTGCCCGAACAGGGACCCTGCGGGCAGGGGGGTTTCGACAGGTCCACACACAGTGGGACGGAGCCTTGGATCGAGGTTGGTGGAGCGGATCTGAGCGCAGATAGACGCTGCCTTGGATCGGTACCGGATAGGCGACCCACAGATAACGGGGGGGGAGTTGCTGGGGGAGTCTGAGGCGGAGGAGTAAGTGAGGGGTCACGACCCTCCCCCCACTGTGGCCGCAAGAAAAATGGATGTGGAGTCTGTGGCAGCTAAAAAACTGCTTCTTAGCATTATTGTTAAATGAAGCGAAGCAGTCGGGGAAAAGGACCTGGAAAAGCTCGTCGTCTGGGCTAAAAACCATGGGCATTTAGCAGGGCCCCAACGCTTTTTGCAGTTAAGAAATGGACGGATATAAGGGATCTGATGTGGGAAACGGCAATTACAGAAAGCAGCAAGGACACTCTGTCTCTCGGTCCAACTTGGCAGATTGTAACTAATACCTTAAAAAACAGAAAAGCAAGATATGCTGAGGCTGTGAGCCCCATAATTCTACCTGCATCACAGCAGCAGATGCCTTTACCTCCCACTGCTGGGCAAAAATTACTGTCTATGCTGCCCTTGGAGAGAGGGAGGGAGAGTCAGAGAGAAGAAAATAATGAGAAAGAAATTTCACAGCAAACGCTGAAACAACAAACAGAATCCATTCAGCAACAGCAGGATGTGATGGATCCTGAACTATTTGCTTCACTTTTGGAGACACTTTTAACACTACAATCTTACTTAAGTTCCAACTTTACTACCCTGAAAGAAAAGAAGCCAAATTTCGATTGGTTTCTACCTGAACCAGGGGGACATGGGGGAGCACTGAGGTGCGTGCAGAGAACAAAGGCACCCCCAGGGAAGAGGCAGTGCAGAAAAAGCTCCAAGGCCATGCTGAACAATTACAGAAGCAGTTGAGCAGAAACAGGTGGCTCAGACAGCTTCTAAGAGAGACAAAATAGCCAAAAAATCATGAACTATATGGTATCTAGTTTGAAATTTATGACTGTAATTGAAAGTTGATAAGCTGCAATGGTCACCATTGTTACCATCTGGACCTGAGAGACTTTTCATGTAACATCGCCTGCTTTAGTAAAATCGTGCCCTTTTTCCTCTATCTGCAAACGAGAGAGAAATTGAGAGAAAGAACTGTATGTGTTAAAGTTAACTTTGTGAGGTTTTTTTTTTTCCTTTCTCTCCGTTTTTCCTCTCTGCAAGAGTATGTGGGGGATGTGAAGAAAGATAACAGCAGCAGAGAGCAGCAGAGCGGGCAGTCCAACTCCCCCTGCTCCTTCTCTAAGAAAAAGCACGGGGATAGTACCCAGTTTGTTAAAAAATCATGATTTATTGGTTTTTCAAAATGATTTTATATACCCTTTTAGAGTTAATTTTGTGTTTTAAGTAATGATGAGTTTATGCAGTTGCAGTTTTTAGAGTTTTACTAGAGAAATTTTTGTGATTCTTGGAAAGTTTAAAAAGGCCCCTTTTCAAAAAAAAAGGTGTTTAAGGCGAATATTAACAGAAGTTACCTTGCAATAATCAGTTTTAAAACCTAAGGTTAAAATATTGAATGATTTACAACTACTGAGAAAACCTTCCAATTAGTGTTATCTACAAAAGAGATTTGTGGTTTGAAAAATAATTAGTTAAGAGAACTTCACTGTACAAGACAAAGTTAAGTTAAAGCATATATTACCAATTTGCTTGGTTTTTTCCACAATTTTAATAAGGAAATTTCAATGTGAGTCCTTGTAGTGGTTTAGATTTGCTAATTTCGTTTTTCCGGCTAATGCACCAAATAAATGTCATGGTTTTAAAGCAGTAACTAAAAAAAAACACTAGAAAACTTACTTATTTCTTGTTGTGAGATATGGATTAGAACAAGAGCAAAACAGGCTTAAAACTTAAAAGGAATAAAGAAGGTTTATTAACAAAACTATAAAAATAAGAAAACCAGAATAAAACTTCCAGAAGACCCTTTTCTCTCCCCCTACCCAACCATTCTCTTGTTCACATGACAACATAGAACCAAAAAGCTTTGGCGTTTCAAACAGTCTCAATTCTTGCTAGTCTTTCCATCAGTCTTTGTAGAGAAACAGAAGTCTTCTTCTGTTAATCTATGGAGTTTCTTACAAGAAAACAATTTCTGTTGTAGCTTTCTATTTCTCTGATGCCAGCTGCCCAGAAATCCTGTCATCAGTTGTCTCCTCCCATTTCACATCACTCTGAGGTGTGTATGGGTCAATGAGTCTAGGGATGTCATTTTTAAGGATGAGTTATTCAAAGGCAAAAGTTCTCTTCATCTGTCTCTGTGAGCTTTTCTGGAAACAGAAGTTTTTTCTTTGCTTCTCAAGGCTTCAGATCTTTAACTATTACTTCTCTCCCTCTGTTCCAGCACCTCACTGTATCACAGTTACTCTACCTTTTGCTCAAAATCCACACTTTGAACTACTCCATTTCTCCCAATATACTCTGTCATGAATTAAAGGAGTTTTTCCAGGACACTATTGTCCATCTCCATAGCTTTAACAGAAAAATATTTCAGCTTATTAAAGCATTTCCTTATTTCCTACCTCTTCTGAAGCTTAATTCTTTTCTTTACTGTCTCTGATAGTTTATAAAGTCTCTTTACATGTTGATTACTCTCTTTTTCTATTTCTGGAAAAAAGGATTAATCTGCAAATCTCATCAGGAAAATGAAAAGGTTAAAATCTTGCCCAGGCCTTGTAGCTGGTTCTGTGATCTCTGCCAGAGTGGTGGCTGGAGCTGTCTGTGATGGAAGATTGTTCACGGCTGCTCTGGAGAGTGTGGTCACTGTCTCAGCCCACTGCAGGGCAAGAGCTTTTTTTCTTTTACTTGGCAGTCTCTGGTGAATTCAGTCACAGCAAAAAAACTGCAGCCGAGCCAGGGACCGGCCTGGCCCGGCCAGAGCCCAGGGCAAGCTCCACAGGCCCCATCTCCCGGCTGGGAGCCGCGGCAGGCCCAGTCCAGCACCTGCCCGGGCCACATGGCCTGGGCAGGGGAACGGGAGGCCAGCTGGAGCTCAGTTACCTTTCACAGCCAGGAAACCAAGAGACAAAGAAATTCCCAGGCTTAGGTCTTAAGGTGGTGTTCACAGGTTGATCTCACTTTTCAATGGTCAAAACTGCTGTCAATTCTTAGAAATGATCAATAATTGATCACAAGAAAAGACTCCCATTAGCCTCTCGCAGCTTCAACTTCCTCCCAGCTCTTGAAGCTATCTTAAAGGTAAAGTTACCCCATGACAGTCCTTTTGTTATATAAAACACATATAACTGTATATATATACCAATTTGGATTTTTGATTTTAGTTTAGAAATTGGACTTGATGTTCCTGAAAAGTGCTACAAAAGCTGAATGGCAACTTGCCAAATCCTGTGTTGTGGTTTTTCTCTAGTAAAGCTGCACTTTAAAATCCTAACCAATTTAAGCATATACTAGGCAAATTCCTGTTATGAATAAGTATTTTTAGTAACATTTGCAGTTATTGTGAGTTATTCTCAAAGCTAGATGACATAGAATTGTGATGTGTTTGTTACATTTTTATAATCTTTATAGTGAATCCATGTTATTGTTATATTGTGTTTAAAAGGTATATATCAAACCTTTAATTGCCTTTTTGTAGTAACAGAATAAGTTATGTTTTTATTTAATACAGATTAAGTGTTAATAGAATTAAGAATAGTCAAGTTTATTATGTTTAGACTTGAATGTTTTTAAGTTAAGTTTTATAACCTGGATATTCTTTTAAGGTGAAGTTTTGTTATTTCCTTTTGTTCTAATTAGTTTTTATTAGGTTTAAATATTGTTTAATTTAAATTGTTTTATGTTTTATTAGAGGCACTTGTTTAAACTGCAAAGTATAGTTATTTTCCCAGAGAGATGAAGATGACTACAACTAAAACAGCTGTGATAGAACGCTGATGAACACCTGCTAATGGATAGAAGTGAATGCAGTCTGTGACACCCTTGACTTCATTGGAAGTTCTATTGGTTGTTGCAATCTCTGCAGTTTTTTCTTTTTATAGCTTTATTATTTTTCAGTGTTTCCAGAATTTTAAGAAGATGTACCATTGCTGAGGGTCAGCTGCCATGGGAGAGGCTTCAGATTAAACCAACTGCTGAATGGTTTAAGTGGTCTGTTATCTAAGGCTTCTGATCATTTGCTTTGTACAAATGCATTTTAACAGTTTGCTGTGCTGTAAGCATCTCATAGCTGCTACTATTGAGAAGCTTGTTTTAGAAATATGTTAAGAGGCATCTTTCCAGTTTAAAGCCTAAGCCCTGGCCAAGCCTTGACTTTACCTGGACGGAATGCTTGCCAGCAGATCCAGATGTTTTCTGTACCAAATCAGTTTTTGATTCAGCAATTTGACCCTATTAATATGACAGCTGGATCAACTTTGAAGTGGGCTTGGAAAATCATTTCCAGAGGTGGTTATCCAATCCTTCACTGATTTTTTTTGTTTCTGTTTGTTTGCAGACTATAAGATGCTGGTGCAGTGTTTTAGAAGTTAGTGGTAGTTTTATATTATATATGTTATTAAAAATGTTTATGATTTGATTGATTTTTAACTGCTAGAAGTTCTTATTCATTGTGTATATGGTTTTGTGTTGATGTTGATGTGTATGACAGAAGTACATCTCATTTTTATTTTTATTTTTATTTTTATTTTTATTTTTATTTTTATTTTTATTTTTATTTTTATTTTTTTTATTTTTATTTTTTTAAAAAACGGGGGAAATTGATGCCCTAAAAGCATTTGATTAATGTAATTCATTAACTTCAAGGGGAGAAGTGTCTGTGTTTTGTTGGCAGGTTCAAAAAGGTCACCTGTTCATCTGACCAGACTGTCTGCCTCTGAACACATGAGACCCAGTGAACAGAGAAGTCACCACACAGCCTTTGTACTCCAGACATGGATCAGAAGTGGACCTGTCAGGACACAGTTGTGTCTGAAAACTACACAGACATTTTACCAAGAGAAATTTTATGTTGTTATTATGATGTTGTGTCTCTACCAATTTTTTTCAGTTATCTTCTGTTTTAAGATTTAAAAGGATGTGAAGAACAACCTGAACATCGAAGCCCTCAGTCACCTCATCAGCTGCCAGCTGACATCATGGGAGCAGTGAATATTCCAAGACTGGATCTTGTTAAATCATAGTCTGTTTGTGAAGGAAATTCTGTAGAAGATCTAGAAAAGTGTAGAGACTCCATCTAACTGTATATAAAGGAAATTGTAGTTGTGTGTTTACCCTTTCAGCAAATTGCTTTCACACTTAGATTACATATATACCGGAGCACGTGTGTTAAAAGTAGTTAGATAATAGTTTAAGAGTTTAGTCTGTGCAGTAATTATTATATTAGTATAACGTATAAGTATTCCCCCTTCAAGAGCTAGTGTAAGCATCTTTGAAAGTTCATTTAACGTTAAAAGTTTTAGCTGTGAGTTTGCACGTATGGTGTCATTTACATGGAACAAACTGCTTATGGTAATTGTGTTGTGTATAGTCCTGACCAACTGTCTGCTGACTAACATCCAAAAGCGACAGAACATATGGGTCACTCTGGCACATTTGATAGGCCAAAAATCAGTGTTTGAGCCTAGCCACACCTGGAGATCCTTCTCGTACCTGTCTCGTAGGAGTCCCTGAATGGGATCCTCAAGCATTTAAAGGTTTAGTTAGTAATGAGACTCGACTGAATCGATTGGCAATGTTATAAGAGTGCAGTCGCACCATTGGCCTCACACCTAGACAACTTGAAGCCTGCTGACAAGCAAAAATTATCGAAGTTCTTAATGTTACCATAGGGCCCCCAGAAGAATTAGATTTGTTAAGTTCCACCAATACTTCAGGTGGATGGATAATGTTTGAGCCCCCAACAAAAAGCCATTCCAACAAAGTAATGCAGCACTGGGCTACAGTCAACCCTATAGTTGATCTCATTACTCACACTGAAAGTAAAGCTTTTTATTTGCAGTGCAATCTCACAGGACAATTACCAAAACGATTACCTAGTTCCATATTCCTAATCTGTGGAGATAGAGCATGGAATGGGATTCCTGCTAATCCACATGGAGGACCCTGTTATCTTAAGAAACTTACTTTGTTCCACCCAAGCTTACACCAATTGCTGAATGTAGCTGATAAAATAAAAAAAATCAAACAGTCAAAGCGAAGCCTGAATGAATTAAGGCTTAGCAACTCTAAAAAAGCTTCCCTCTTAGACTAAGAAAGAATTGAACTTAACATCCACAATGTTAAGTGAACTTTCAGCAGATGTGA